GCCACAATCCGACTACTGGCACGGGCTTTCGGTAATCGTGGATTCCTTTCCACAAGGTCGTTTTGATTTTCAATCTAAGGGGATCTGCGTCCTTGTCGAGGACCAAAGGAAGATCCCATAGGATCCAATCCCAGGCGCGCAATCACGACTTCCCTGTATCGCTCATGAATTTCCGGCCAGTGGTGCAGAACAGCAAGTCGGAAGACCTTCATCAAGTATCCCAATGGGACCAAACTCCCGGTACGAGCTTCTGACGGCGCACGCCAAAGGTGGAGTCCAAGAAGAGTCCCAAGAATGATTGTGATTACTGTGATATCCCAACTACAGCGCCCTTATGTTCTGACAGATACCGAAGTACGAGTCACAAGGGTCACCAATCCTCGGGTGACGCCACGGTAATGGAAGTACGGCGCGTATCTACAAGATAAGCGAAGGAACTAACTCATCGCGAGCGCAATTAACCCAAGATCGTGGCGCGTGGCAGGTCCTGCTGATATGTAGAACACGCTGGTTGCAAGATCGTTCTACTGGAGTCGGCTCAAATTCAAGTGGGCTGCGCAGCGGCGGGAAAATCTCAGGTCGGCCGAGATTCAATCAATGTGACTGGTGAACGAAAATTCTGACGAAGACTCATTTCTCCCCCGTCCGCGGCCACTGAGGGTCCGTTCTAGAGCTCACCCGACACCGTATCACCGATGTTCTGTCGGAGAAAAACCGCCTCGTTTCTGCAAGTGAACCGACAGCATAGCTGATTCGTCCGGTGGCTCCTCTTCGCGCTCCCAGGAGCATCCGATTCGTGTCTTGGACCTGGTGGAAAGGCGGCGGACATAGCGAGTCCGCACTTGTCATGCCCTTCTCGACGCCGTGAGTCCATTGTTCATCTCGTAACGCCGTCCGGGCAATTTTGTCAGACACGGCACGCGGCTACGTTCGTGAGCGCCGCATCCTCAGACGACCGCGGCCGACGACGCCTGACGGTCCAATCGGCCGCGAGCACGACATTGAGCCATTGAAGTTCTCAAGGAGTGGCGCGCACGATTAATAAGTGGATCAACATGCGGCGAACTTGCAGCGGTATCTGCTATTGATTTGTTCAGAATCCGTCTCCGGACCAACAGACTCCAGAAAATCAACGCTGCTGTCCTGGCAAATATTCTGGTTCCCCAAAACCACCTATTTGCGGATCTCTCTGGTCGAACCAGAAACCGAAGCTGAGACCGAGACTACGTGCGTAATATCCAGCCTCATGGTCGTCTCAACGCCTAGGAGTTAATATTCAATTTGGCAATCTCAAAGAGAAGGTTAACTCTTGAATAATGCACGAAAACGAATCGCCTGCACACGAGGAGGGTTGAAGATCGAAGCACCTCGCGAGTTGTATTATGCATCCTGAGTGCACGGAACTGAAATATTCTGGGACGAAATCTATTTCCTGTCGCCGCGAGGTGGTGAATACCGTGGACCTCAGCTGGACGCTGTTACGTTCCTTCGACTAGGCTTTCTCTCCGTACGTCGCAAAATAGCTGCTTCTGGATAATATTTTCGGGAACGCGGACTCCGCGCCGTATTATCTATGTTCTACGCAGGAACGAGGAACCTGTGAAGCCTCAACCTGCTTTTTTACCCCCCAGAAATTCTCTGTCTGTCAGCTCTAGCGTTCTGAGGTCCAATAAATCGACCCTTGAATATTGAATTCGTTCACTCAGACTTCTCACAGTCGTCTCTACTATCGTACCACTGATCAATTCCCCTCACATTAATCCTTTCGAACTTTCATCTAATTCCTGCTCCTCGGACGGTGACAGCACTCTTTTGCGCAACGTGCACCCATAGTTTCCCTTGCTTTGTGCCCTGCGTGCTCCAGTTGGAATGGCGTCATGTACCTGATTCAACTGGAATCAGTGTCTGCTTCGCGCCTTCCCTTCCCTTCGCGCGCGGATCTATTCGCACTGGCCAGACCCGTACGCCACTCGTTCCTTCATCTACTAGTACGTAGTCCTTCTCGAACGCGATCATGATCGATGCATTTCGATGCTCTTTTCAGGCGGGCCGCCCGAATACACTCTTGCTTAAAAATTGCAGCTGTCTCCATCCTTAATCACTGTGGTAGACTGTCGCTTCAACCTGTTCTTCGGGAAGAACTACGGGATGTTTCTACCAGAAGTGTAACCACATGCAACGCCCACTTCGAATTCCTGCCTCTGTTTTAGTTTACGTTCAACCTCAACCTCAATCCCACGGCACCTCTCCGAACCCAGGCCAATCCGTGCGGAGCCGTTTCGATGTGATTTGATAGAGAGCCCATGGCTGGGCCTTCTCGTGACCCACCGTAGCCAAGGCGAACCAGAAGATATGTTTTCATCTTTCTCTTATGTTCAGCTACCACATCTCGTGCGTGATTCATACCCGCCATTAACACTCGTATTTCTTTAGGTCAACTGCGCGGGTTCGAGCGGGAAGTTCATGCTAATTCTGCGACCACATGCAACGCCCGCTTCCCGCGCCTGTTTATACTCAATCTGATAGCGAACCTGCTTCGAACGCGAAGCAATTCATGCTCCGGAGCCGCTGCGATGTGATTAGATAGTGACTTGCCTCTGATGACAACGCACAACCAGGGAGAGGAATCGATCGACCTTGTGTTGTGGGTCCTTGTATTTTCTGGTGTTCGTTCGTCCAATTATATGCTTGAAAATGAAAACGTAGTCTCTTTTCTTGCAGTCTAGGGCGTTTCTTCCGCCTTCTTTCAACACCATTTTTCCGACTCGCACGACGCAAGTGCACATTCGGACCGATGAAACCGGATCCTGCGGTTCTGCAAAGAACCTTTTGGTTAGTCGCGCGCGGTTTCCGCTAACAGTAGCGCATTGCATGTCCTCCAGCCGACCGTCAGCAAGCTTTGATTAAAATGCAGGGACACAGAATCTTCAATCAATCGATGTCGCACCGGAAGGAACAGCAGACCAATGACAAATGAAAGATACCCTCCTCGGTCGCCGGAGAGCCGGACGCTCCGGGACCTGGATTGCGATTACGAGAAGGGTGGAGGTCAAGCTGAAAGGCGGGCACATGGACCCCATAGATTACCATCAATTATTGGATGTATTGTGTTGACTTCATGCAAGCTAGACTCTAGCCGTTACTGTTGGAGAAGAGTTTTTTGGGACCGGTGGAGATAAATGCGAAGATTCAGGCGAGGGTGGATACTGGTGGACCCACATGGACCTCCATCATTCTAGTATCCGCTTTGAGACTTACTCGGGATCATGGGCCGTGATGGATCTGGTAACGCGCGTGCAGTCGGATTCTTGATCAATCAATCTCTTGTCAGCGTTCCTTGTATTTCAACCTCGCTTGTCTTAGAGGCTAGAGCGAGTAGACAATATTGACGATTGAGAGAAGACCAGCCTAGTGTGCTGGCATAATTCGTATCAACCAAGTCGCGAACAGACAATCTCAGATTCAGGTTTAATTATTCAGAGATTCGATGGCCACACTACGTAGCGAGTGGTCTACCCGAGCAAGCGAGGATGACGCACCGGGCACGGCGGCTGTGGATGAGTGAAGAACTGACTCGATCTTGAGTGCTGAGGAGTGCGTGTATTGCGGAATGTGAATGTGAACCGATGTGAATGGGATAGGTAGAACTCCCCGATCTATCGCGATCGAAACTGCTGTTGAACGTTGCTACGGCTGTTCAAACGAGGTACAGCACACGTGAATACTCGAACGCGACGTTCAAGGGGGAATAAACAGAACAAGGGGGCAATGAGAAAAACAAGGACGAGGACAAGTGTCCTTGTTTCTCTATTCTGAACACCGAATATTCACCGGCCTGATGTGCCGTCCCTGATATCACTTTACTGTGATAATCTTCATACCCCGAGCAAGCGGTCGCGCTCTAGCCGGCGCTGCTTACACGTAGTTCAGATGACGCAAAAAAGTGAACCTGTACGCGCAAGCGGCCGATCTTGATCGACGCTCACTTGCTTCCGCCTACTTGTTACGAAACGAAATAAGCGCCATGCCGATGAGATTTACGATTCAAACGCTCGCATTCGCATGTATGTGGCCACGTATCTGGTGTTGACTCAGTGGGAGGATGCATTATGAGAATCGTGCTGGCTTCGAGTTGAAGATATCGGCACAATACCGAGTTGGATGTATTATGGTTCAAAATTCGATACCCTCGTGGCTTCAGCAAAAACGTGGTTGGGCGCCCGGCGCGGATGTGAATGCAATCAGGAATAAGTTCCATGATGGTTGAAGCGGTGCAATTAAAGAGATAACGGTGCTTAAAATAAGCGGGCATGGCCACACTAGCGCTGGACCCAAGCAATCCGAAAGAGATCACGGTGGGTGGAGTACTAGTGCGCATAATTACTTATGTGGGTACAGGCATTGGATTCACGCTACCGTTTTATTTGCAGATAAGCAGGATAGCGGACCAGCCAAGTTTATATTTACATAGTCCTTCCAGGATCCACCCGGCAGAAGGGCGAGCCCGATTCTTACGGCCATGGGAGGAGAATCTAGACGCATGATAAGGTTACTGATGATAGTCAGGCAAACGTTCGATAGTGAGTCATGTTAAGGATCTCCATTTCATGCCGAAAATAGAGTTGAACTTTCACCGCGGCAGTCGGTCACGGTGTATATCAGGCCGTATCTCGTCTACTCCTATAGTCGAATAAGCATTAATGAGGTAGTGATATTCTCGGTCGTTGTTTGCCCCATATTTATAGCATGAGCCACAAACTGAACTGTGGTATAGGAGGCAGCCATGAACACCCCTTCTGCTCCGCCTTCATTCACACTTACTTATCCACTCATCATGAGCAGTGCATTAATTAGGTAGTGGTATCCTCGGTCGTTTCGACTTTTGATTTCGAGTCAGGTTAAAGGGATCTGGGATTGTTGAATTTGTGGACTTCAATAGTGCATTTTTTCGTTTTTCTTTTGCTTTCCATCAGTATTGCTGTTACTCCCCTCCTGGCATAGCATTAATGGGGTAGTGGTAACCTGGGTCGTTGCCATGAGAAACATACATGATCGTTTCGACCCGCCGGGGGTTCGATTCCCCCTTAATGCATTCTTTTGTTTTCCCTCATTCTTTTTTCTTTCTTTTTTCCCCCTCCCTACCTGCTATCTTATGATACTCCCCGACGTCAGGGTCCATGGGCTGGCCTCAGCACAACTTGAGATTGAACGTGAAGTTCAAGTTGTTCTCAACTCGTGATATCATCCCAGGGTCGCCGACTGCCCTGCCCGGCGGCAACGGAGGGTATCTCCCCGTTGTATACTCAATTCATGTGTATTATGCGCGGACCGGCAAAGTCGGTCCGGTCCATCGGCTCTCGTCGGATTTCTCGGCTCTTAACACCGGCAGCCCCTGATGTCCAGTAAACAAAGGTACTCGTTCACCGGCGTCCGTTGGATCGCCCCACCCCATTCAACGGCGTTCAGCGAACGCGCTGATCCTCAGTGGACAGGTGTTTTTTGGTCATGAGCCAATGAGTTAGCACATCATGTTCACGACGTTCGGTGGACACCACTGCACATTGCATCAAAATTTATACATTCTTGTCACTGTAAATCCCTCTCAGCATTGAACTCCACTGGATTTCCAGTCATATCTACAGAATGGTTCGATGGAATCCAGCAGATAGTTGGTGCATGTCCAATTTGCCAAAAGTACACTGAAGTGAGAATCCGTTGGAATCCAGTGGATAACTGGAGTATGTTCACTGGACATTCAGCGAAAGTGCATCGGATATCCGTTGGATAACGCCGTATGTTGTTGAAATCCAGCTATGACGGTATTTATCGTCAAAAATTATGTACTTACCTTTGTGCACATCTCACGTTGTACATCAACATTCCCAATTGAACATCTACTTCCATTTGAGGTACAGGCACAGTCAAACTGCACAAAGAGTAGGTACTTTAGGTACTTTTGGTTCATCTACATACTTGTTTGTAGGAGTGCAGCTTATTTGAACACTCAACTGGCGAGTATTTCACTCAGCAGCTCAATTAAATTGTACATTCAGATTGATCATCAATCCCAAATGTCAATCATCCCAAGCTTACATCAATCCCAATCCCAAAGGTTGAACCAAGTCCAAATCCCAACCCACCTGGTTTCCCACAGGTCTCGGCTTCATTTAAAAACCGTGATTTTCTGAATGGTTCAGAACATCCCCCCCTGCCTCTGTAATTAATTATAGATACTATATTTTAATGATATCAATGGTTCGGTTCTTGGACTGAGACTACTTGCTTTCAGTGACACTCCGGGAAAAATCAGCATGGGACAAAAATAACAGGTAGTGTTCAGGTAACCTGGATGCTTAATGCAATTCTGCACACTGTCTTGCCAGCATTAGTTCACTTGAGAATTCATTGTGAGTAAGGCTTACCATCTAATAGACTTGTTACCAGCCAGTCTGTCATGGCATATCTTAATGCAAGTACTTAGGCTGGTGTGTTGGAAGATATTTTTTCAGGGATCCCCTACTAAGGGAAACAGACTACACATTGTGAAATGAATACCTAAAACACATCTCTCACACAAAATAGAAGTGTACCACAGTGATTCCCATGAAGGGAAGCCAGAGCAATCAGGCAGGACCAATTCGGAGGCTGACTCTGAACCTGATTCTCTAGTCTTATGATTTAATGGACAATTCCCCCAAGTGAAAGGGAGCCATTTCCTACTCATGTCTGGAGGAGGGCAGTGCCGTGAAACATCAGATCCCAAGAGACTTCGGCAGCTACTCCAGGCAGCCCCCGTAAGACACCCTTGTAAAAGTAGACATCCTAGTAAATAATTTGCATTTTCAATTCAATTCAATTCAGATTCCATTAGAGTGCGCGCGGGCCCCTTGGGGCCCATGTAGCACTATACGTATTACACGGATGACTACTAGCTGGTGCGGAGAGAGGTAATGCAGGGAGTGCGTTTGGTAGGTAGGGCGGGCAAGGGAGGTGTGCTGTGAGGGATGTATTCGAGTTTTGTCGAGATGAGGTGTCTAAGCTAGGTATTCAAGTATAAGTATGAGAAAAGGAGAAAGAAAAATATATAAGCCGGGGCCCTAGAGGGCGTATCGGGGGAAGCGGCCGGTGTCACGCACGAAGCAGAGCACTGGCTTGGGGTCAGATTTCGCACTAAGAAGGTGGCAGAGGGAGAGGCGTGCAGTGCCTAACTTGAGGACAAGATCAAGGCGCTAGCGATGGTAGCGAGGGCAGGTAAGGAGGAAGTGTGGGACCGTTTCGGGGACTAGGCACATGTCGCAGTCGGGGGAGGGGGCGAGGTGAAAGCGGTAGAGGTACGCGTTGAGGGCGAAATGGGTGGAGCGCAGGCTGCGCAGCTGAGTGATTACGCTGCACTGCGGGCGGCTCAGGCCGTCGTACAGGCGTGCTACTGCGAGGGAGGGCCATGCGTTGTCGAAGAGGGAGATGCGACGGTGGCACAGGGAGGTGGACCACCCCTCGAGCCAGCGTGCTTTGAACTCCTTGGGGCCGGCATCCAAGACTGCCGCTTTGCTCGCGGGGAGGGGGCTCTCGAAGGGGATAATCCGGGATGCGAGGGCTGAGGAGGCGCCTTGGGCAGCTTCCTTAGCGCGCACGTCGACGGCTTCGTTCCCGGCGATCCCGACATGTGCTGGTACCCAGTGGATGCGGATCTTGAGGGAGGGGCAGGCTCGGAGGAGGCGCCGGTGGAGGGAATGGAAGAGGGCGAGCAAGTATTGGCCTGGCTGAGGGCGGGGGGCAGCGAGGGCAGAGATGGCGGGTTGGCAGTCTGAAGATGTCGACCTCGGTGAGACGTGGGGTGCCCTTGACAATATTGAGCGCAAGAATGGCGCCGACGACCTCTGACTCGAAAACAGTGTGCTCGCCTAGTGTTCCCAGGTGCTTCATCCTTGCTGCTCCTTCTCCTCCCTTCCCCCATGCGACTGCTGCTGCTCCCACACCGCCTTCGTAACCTGATCCGTCCGTGTACACACAAAACCTGCCTCGCCTCATCACCTCCTCCAGCTCCTTCCTCGCCGTTTCCTTGTCTGGTGCGATCCTCGTTGTCAGCGCTCCCAGCGGCGCTTGTACGATCTCGAGGTGGGGGGTCGATTTGCTCGAGAGTCCCACTGAGGAGGGGAAAAGTGGCTAGGAGGTGGTGGATGGGGGAGCGGTGGAAGCGCGGGACATGCCTGCACCGCTTGACAACTCGGTGGAGAGGGTGGGAGGGCGGCAGCGTGGCGAGTCGGACTGCGGAGTTGAACACGGAGCGGTTGAGGCATACATGGACGGGGAGGAGGTTGGCATGGAAGTCAAGGGTGTCAGAATTTGCATCATGGTTGATTATAGTTCATTTCAGATTTTAATTCTGGTGCTGTGCTTCACGTCCCGCTGCGTCCGTATCTGCCTGGTCCAATATTTAGTACAGCCTTTTGTCTTAGAATTGGTATCCTTCCATTAGCCCCTATTTTATACTATATATTCTATATCCTAGTACTACATCCAAGATGATCCCCTTCCCTTGGACCTGTCCTACATCATCCTCACACCTGACCTTTGTCATTGCTGTGGGCTCGCCCCATTCTTGTTTTTGTCACCCTGCTTGCTCTCACTCGGCAGAAGACACTGGCCTTCACATTGATCCAACTTGCAACTTCTAGCATCCTTCTGACCTCCTTGCTGCCTTGCCTGGTTTTTTCCAAGTTCAGCTCGTGCCTGGAACGTAGGGTTGGGTTGTTGCTGGCCCTATCATGAAGCCGGGATCACGCCAGAATTAAATGTGACTTGGACCGGTCTGACTCATGTTTTGATTTGACGTGGAGAGTCAGTTCTCACCATGCCGAGGGAGAACTCCCAGTGCAAGACTTGTAGGTTCGGGTGCCTTTGATCAGATAAAATCCAGCAGGCTCTAAACTTCAAGATTAGGATATTCTAGACCTCAAAGGGTATCACTCGGCCTCTCTCAATATTCGAAGAGAGTGTTGATGAGGATCATGATCTGCTATTTGTGAGGGGGTGCAAGCTTCGTGCAGTCATAAGAGCTCATATAAGGTTCAGACTGGTACGTATGCCTTCAGGGTCTCGGAGGAACCCAACGAGGGACAAAGGCCAGCAGCTCATGGTTTGTGGGTAAAGTGTGGATTGATTATTTCGAACTTAGATCTCTAGATTTAAAACTCCATCAAAGGAGCAAATCTTACGGACCACCTGGAGAAAGAGGACAATCCAATTAATTGTGGGCCAGCAGGAACTTCAAATTTTGCTTTTGAGGCTGCAATTTGAACTGAATTTGAGAAAAGAGTTCCTGGGCCCAAGCTTGGGTCATGAGCTCGGAAAGATTTTGAGCCCCTGAGCTCAACTCAAGCCGGCCTCGGGTCAGACCCCAACCGGGGAAAATACTCAACGGATGTGGTCAGGACTCTGGAGGATGACAGCTGTCCATCTGGGATTGGGATTGACAGGCTTGGTATTGATGGCTGTTCCCAAGTGGGACTGATAGCAATTCCCACAGTTCACTTGGGATTGATGGGACAGCCCAACTAGTCAGGTTGGGATTGATAGAATCCCATTAGGGTATAGCATTATTGTGTTATACAAATCATGCACCAGGAATTGTACAATTTCATCTTGAAGAAGTTGAAAGATCTACGTGGATTGCACACTGCTGTAAGTAGTGTGTAGAAAACTGAGTAATACCGAACCATGGCCATGAGTTGGAAGTACAATGTGCAATGTACAATAAAGTTGGTAGATTATCAGGTGAAATGTACACTAAAACACTTCCTGTACCCGAATTAACTACACATGTACTTGTTGAAATGTAGTAGAAGGATGTTGAATGTTCAACTCTTATTGTACATATTTTTTGACGAAAAAAGCTTTTATATCCAGCGGATAGTTGGTGCATGTCCGACGGAAATTTGCCAAAAGTACACTGGAGTTCACTGAGGTTCCGTTGGAAACAATTGGATAACTGGAGTATGTTTGCCCGACATTCAATACAAGTACACTGAATTTCATTGAGAATCCAGTGAATGTCCAGCTGAATCCACTGGACAGACAAGATGTTTTTAGAGA